CGCCTGGTGTCTGGATGCAGCGGGTTGAGGAGCTGGAGAGGAGGACGCTCCCCCTCCGACCCCCCCACCCTGCCCGTCCCAGACCCCTGCCACCATTTGAACTGAATGTACAGATTAGAAGTCCCCCCTCCCTGTGCAATAAATTTTCGGTCTGCAGCCACACCGTGGCTTTGCTTTGCTTTCTTTTTTTTTAAAAAAAAGGACAGGGTTGTTGGGGGGGGAGTAGGAACAGAGGTGGGCTTCAGCTGGCAATATCTCAGAGCCCGTACCGGCTGTGTAATTGCAAGGGTTCGCTTCCGGACGGCCGATGGGAGGATGCTTCTGTGCTTGCCCGAACCTGCTCCCCGGAGACGTGTATTTAGCGGTTTTGCTGTTTTCTCCCCCCCACTTTGCAGGCCCTGTAATTAAGTGGGCTAATCTTAGGTTTTGGCTAGAGTCATTTTATAATCAATATTATGGGACTCTGGTGGTGCTTTTCCGACTGCTTATCTTCCACGGAGATGCTCTTCTTGTTCCCTCTCCCAGTGCGAACCAGTTTCCTCCTTCTCTGCCTCCACGCATGCATCCGGCTGATTATTCAGGCCGTTCGCCTCCAGGGCTTTAGAGCTCCTGGTTTATTTTTCCTTCCGCTCTGCTTCTTCAGCCCTCAGATATGCCCTCCTCCAAAATCTTCCTGGCACGGGGCTGTCTTTTTGAGAAGAACACGGACATAGATAGACACACACACATACACACACACACAGAGGCCCTTTCTGTATGGCTCTTTCCTGCCCTGAAAAAGGGGGGAAATGCAAAATTCTGCACCCAGGAGAGAGAGAAAAAAAGAGAAACAAATGCAGTTACAAGATGGGGGATACGACGAGCAAGAAAGATCTTGGAAAGATTGTAGATCACAAGCTGAATATGAGCCAGCCTTGTGGTCGTGGCTGCAAAAAAGGCCAATGCGATTTTAGGATGCATTTACAGAAGAAGGGTTTCCGAATCCCGCAAGGTGCTAGTCCACCTGTATGAACATCTTGAGTTTTGTGTCTCCTTCCGGGCACCCCACTTTAAAAAAAGATGTTGACAAACTGGAACAAGTTCAGAGGAGGGCGAGAAGGAGGATCGGGGTGGGGGTGGGGGCTGGAAACCAAGCCTTATGGGGAAAGGTGGAAGGAACTGGGCAGAAAAGAAGATGGGGGAAAGATTGCACTTTTCAAAGGCTTGGACGGTAGCCCTACCAAGGAGGGGCAGGATCTGTTCTCGATCAAACCAGATTGCAGGACATGGAATAATTAAAGGCTCAAGCTACAGGAAGCCGGGATGGGGGGGGGAGCACGCAAGCCTCTGGACCGAACAGATCTCTCCGTTTTCTCTGTTGGGAGTTGCTTCTTGGGCACTTGCGATTTGTGGGTTTGTCGGCCAAGAAAAGTTGGCCTGCCTTTAAAAGATGTGGCTTCCTTGCCCCTAGCCTAGACGCGCATGGTTCTAGCGTGCGCATGATGTGCCGCAAGAAAGGAGGGAGATTCAGCAGGGAGGGGAGGCGGCCGCTTGGAAGGCTTTCGGATCGGTGCCTGTTTGTGCGCGTGATGCGGCTGGCTTTCTCGGAAGGCCTAAGGTTTGCTCGCAGGCAAAAAAAACCCCATTTCTGCCCGCAAGAATGCCACACCTCGGTAGCTCACCCTTTTGTGTTTACTTGTGCCCACCCTGTAATCACAAAGGCTCACAACAAGGAAGTTTGTCATTGTTTAAAGAATGCTTTTGGGGAAGCAAACCCCTTTGTTTGCCTTTTGAGAAAGACAGGAAAGGATCGGCCGGAGGAAGTTAGAACTCCTTTTGGGGTTTTTTTTTAGCAGAATCTGGAGAATCCAGTGGCTAAACTCTGCCAGAACAGCCAAACCGATGAAATCCAAGAGTTTGCAAGCCACGGATTTGTGTATTGTTGTTTTTTTCAGTTCTGTAAGCGAAGTCAGAGCCGTCCCACGTGAAAATTCACTCCCGTTAAGCAATGTACAATTTTAGATTCCCTGTTAAGGGAATTGAAATCTAGGTAAATGTCATGTAGTTTTTTTTTTAAGTGTTTCCGAGGATGTGCAGGTTGCGTTTTCTGTGCCACGAAGGAAGCACACGGAGCTTTTATATCATTTTGGGGATAAAAGGAAGCGGGTCTGGGTTCTGGGGAGATGATTTGCGCTCCTGGTGGGTATTTAGTAGCCCGGATGATGATTCCCGGTTTCTTTACAATGTGCCGACGTATGTCTGGGTTTAAGAGAGGGAGGACTTTCCAAACTTTGGAGAGAATTTGGCAAAAGCCAGGGGCGGCGATCCTGTTACGTTATAATCCGTCTTCCGGAGGAGACCAGATGCAGAGGTGGTTTGCGGCCAGACAGAAATGAAACCGAAGAGGAACGTTAAACAGAAGCAAAAAATCCATTCCCGGCCTCATATCCCGGCCATATTCCACGGTTAAACATTTTCCATTTTAAATTTGAAATACATCTCAGGTCTGGTTTGAATTCACTGGAGCCGTAAGGGAGCAGGGCGAATTTTGTGTTTTGTTTTGAAGCAGCATTTAAATAAATGGGATCAAAGTGGGTGTTTCAGCTTTGGCTGTTTTTGTTACTGCCCAAAACCGACAACAGCCGCCGCTCTTAAAATGTGGAAATCGACAGCGGCCTGTAATTTAAAATTAAAAAAAAATAGTGGAAGTGAGCGGGGGCGAGATCTAGGAACTTTCTCATGATGGATCGCGAGGTGTGAGACAGCATTTTCACCCACCCCTGCACCCTTCTTATTCAAATGCACCCCTTTCTTGATCTGGATTGGCTTCCGGAAGGTTCTGGAGGAATGGCTGAATTGGAACTCAGAGCCTCATAGGCAGGCAATGCCTTGAGATCTGGAGCTGAAAGAGGACACACACACAAACACACACAAACACACACCTGGATCGGGGGGGTTGTGCAAAATTTTCTGCACATATGGACACACAAAGCAATGACATAAAACTGGTTTTATTTTAAAAAATACCTTCTTAACAAAATCACCATTTCCGTCCCTGGTGTCAACGGCCAGATTAATAATAATAAAAATAATTTTTCTACACCTCCCGCCCTCTTCCCCCCCACGCACCCCAAATATAACCTTAGCAGCTGAAAAGCTTGTTCTTTGTCCCTCTGAAGCTGGTCCTTTTTCCACCTCGTGGGCAAAAAGCGGGGTGCGTGTCCGGAAAGCCCCGCACTCCGATCCTCTCGTGTCAGCTGGAAAGATGCCAGCCAGAAGGCTGCCCGGGGGTTCGTGTCTGGCGTCGACCCCGTTTGCAGGATTCCAGTTCTGTTCGTTGCAAAATTGGGGGGAGAGTTTTCTGTCCCCAGAAGCCACCAAATCCGGCCCGGGGCGTCTTTTTCCTCCTTTGAATTTCTGAGCATCCGTGCAAGGTTTCGAGTCGCACAGAAGTCCGTGTTTTTGGTCCTCGGTAAGCGGGTGCAACGGAGCAGGAATCACTGGATAGCGCGGCGATTCAAGTCTCCAGTGGCGGAGCCAGAGGTTGTGAGTTCGAATGCCTTCTGCGTCCTTGACAAGGGCTGGACTTAAGGATCTTTAAGGGGGGGGTTGTCCCTTATCGCTCGGCAGATCTAAAACAGTTTATTATTCTTATTCAAAAACACCAAACACGATCAAAATATCTGTCCAAA